TGTTTGGATTTGCTATGTATACCCTCTGTTTTTTAATTTTTTAATTTGTACATTGATATATAAGTCGTGATACATTACAAATTGATACATTACTAGTTTGATGTATATGTAATGTGTTTTTAGATCCCAAAATTCTTCTTTCCATTCTTCCAAAAAAAATCAATTTTTTAATCAAACTTTTGATAAATGATACATTTGGTAGAAGTTTTGTATCAAGTATCAAAACTAATTAAGGTTATGTATGAAAGCTAATATTTGAACATGATACACCGTGCATGATAAAATTGTAATGTATCGTAGTGTTGAAAAAAAGTCATTATACATTAATTAAGAAGCAAAATTGACTAGATACATTAAAAATATAATTAATGTATCCCAAACTATAGCCGTAAGATAATTTAGTAATTTGAACACGAAACATTGTACATGATAAAATTGTAATGTATCATAAGTTGAAATGAAGGCATTATTGTTTACTAATTATATAGATCAGTCTTTGAATTATATGGGATGTTCCTAACAGACACAAAAAGCCATTCTCATACAAACCTAAAGGAAGGAAACAAACAAGCGCCTATCAGATCTGTTCTGATATGAAATATGTCTTCTTTTTCACATTAGTTCCAGGTGAAACACCTGAATGACTGAAATCTATTGCGAAGAGCATGGAGGCTGCTATGTGTTCATCTGTTTGGTCAATCTTAGAGGTGTAAGCAATGTTGAAGATGAAAAACTAAAAAAAATGAAAATTGAAGTCATGGAAAGAGATCCACCTCTTGAATAACTTGAAATCATTAATTGGAAAGAGAAAATATTTTAAATTCATACATGGATTAATGGGGTAACTGTGGAAAGATTTGTGGCGTGAAAAAGGGAGAAAAAAATCATGTGGATTATGTATCCGGCAGTTTTGTGCTATCCTAAAAAATAAGAGATTTTGGAAAATTTTAGAACTGGTAGGGAATAATGGAAATTATGGGGGGGAAATGTGTGTATAGGTAATTTTTTCTATTATTTATAGTATACAACGAGAACAATGTTGGATATTGTTTGTGTAGATGGGCACAATTGATTTCTCACAACTTAAATTTTATTATATCAAAGTAAGAACCCGCTTCGGTCTTACAATTCTTACAGACAATTATTTCTTGCACTCACACTCTAGCAGTAACTCTCTCTTATTTCTCACTCACTTGTTGTTTGCTCTTTTATTTACTTTCTTTCTTGTTTTCCTACTTGGTTAGATACAACTCGAATGAACCACCTCTATTTATAGGTGGTGATGGAAGAATTTAGCTAAGGGTTTTGCTACTATATATATTCTAGAATGTTCTTCTAACTACCAATAGAACTACCTTTTCTAGAACATCCCCAGACTTTTCTCTCTAGAATACTCATTCTAGAGATCTTCCTTTATTTCTTTATAACTCTTGAATATTATAGATTCTTCTTTGAAATGTCATGGATATTAATTAAGTTAGTGATGATTTCTTAACACTCCCCCTTAGCACCAACTTTATTTTCTCTTTCAATCATTCCAACCGCTTCTTGAAATCTTATAAACTTCATGTTGTCCAGTCTCTTTGTGAATATATGTCCGCTACTTGCTCTTCTATCCTAATTTGCTTCATTTCAATTTTGCCTTGAAGAATTTTTTTCTTGAAGAAAATTATGGTGTACTTCCACATGATTCGTCCGAGCGTGAAATACAGGATTTTTAGCCAAACGAATAGCTGACAAGTTGTCACAATATAGTGGTACCATATCTTTTGATGTTGATGCAAGCCTTACATGAGTTGTTTTAGCCATGTGCTCTCTTGTCCTGTCATCATTCTTACTCGATATTCTGTTTTTGTAGTTGAAAGTGAAATAGTTGGTTGTCTTGTATTGCACCATGATATTACGGCTGATCCAAGATTGAAAACATATCAAGTGGTTGATCTTCGAGTATCATGGTCACCAGCTTAATCAACATCACAATATTCGATTATCTTGCAAGAAGCTCATTTCATATAGAATAGTCCATAGCCAATACTTCCTTTCACATACCTTAATATCCTCCCGATTGCGTCCAAATGAGGCTTCTTTGGTTTCTGCATAAATCTGCTAATTACTTCAACTGCAAAGGTAATATCCGATCTGGTCAATGTTAAATAGATAAGAATACCGACAAGTTGACGATACATTGTCTCTTCCTCCAAGTCTTTGCCTTCATGGGAACATAGTTTTAGGTTAGGCTCCATTGGTGTAGAAGATATCTTGCAACTCATCATTCCATATTTTTGGAGTAGATCTCTCGCGTACTTTTGTTGTCCAAGGAATAATTCATCCTTTGTTTTGTTTAACCTCAAGACCAAGGAATTGTTTTAGTTCGCCCAACTCTTTCATTAGAAATCACACCATCAAATTTATTTTACTTTGATAAATCTCATCGAAGTCGTATCATGTGATGATTAAATCATCTACACTGACTAATATGATAGCTAACCTTTATTCACGAGCTTTTACGAATAAGCTTGAATCTGTTGATGCCACTTGATAGCCACTTTAGATCAGGAACTCGGTAATTTTTCCATACCATGCTCGGGGGGCTTGCTTCAAACCATACAAAGCTTTCTTCAATTTGCACACACAATTAGGATTGACTCTACTCAGAAAATCTTGTGGCTGATTTATGAATATTTCGCGATCCACTTCTCCATGAAGAAAAGCATTCTTCACATCCATCTACCACAGTGTCCAAGACATACTAGCTGTCAGAGCTAGTAAAACACGAAAAATAGTAATTTTTGCCACGGGACTAAATGCCTCGTCATAGTCAAGACCGTACTCTTGTGAGAATCCCCGAGCTACTAATCGTGCCTTGTACCGTTCGATAGATCCATCAGGACGTGTTTTTAGCTTATATACCTACTTACATGATATGGGTTTAACATCCATAGGTTTAGCCACTAACTCCAAAGTTTGGTTTAGCTTTAAGGCTGAAATATCCTCTTCCATTGCCATTCTCCATTCACTACTCTTCGAAGGTGGTAGGTTCCTTGACCTTGTCAACCTCAGCCAGCGCCACATTTATATACTTACTATTTTAGAGTTTCGGTCGTGTGGATCTTCGTAGTTGAGGAGTTTTTTGTACTCCTTGCAACTCTTCTGGAGTTTAATGAATTCCAATTTTCCACGGGCTCTTATTTTCTCCGGTTGAAGATATCTCTTTTTTATGTGATTCGAGTATTTCACATACCTCTTGTTGTAATTCTATTTTACTTCCTTGTCCTTGTTCTTCAAGCTTATGTTGTCGCTTTTGCTCTAATTCTATTGAATCTAGTAATGTGACTTCTTCAGACAACCATGATGATGCTTCATCAAATACAACATTTCTTGACACATATGTCCAATTTGTGTTAGGGTCACAATACTTCCATCCTTTTGTTTATTTGTCATATCCAACAAAGATGCAATGAACAACTTTCTTATCAAACTTGCTGCAGAGATGATCTGACACGAACACATAGCACACACAACCGAAAACTCGAAAGTGGCTTACTATAGGAATCACTTTTAAGTATCTCAAATGGTGAGATGAATCTCAATCTTGCCTGCGGTAGCCTGTTGGTGATGTGGACAACAGTCTTCATGCATTATACCCAAAACCTTGATGGTACATTCATACTATGCAACATACTTTTGCATATCTTTGTTGGATATCTATTTTTCTTTCAGTCACTCCATTTTGTTGTGGCGTATTTGGACAAGTTAGTTGTCGTCTTATCAACTTCTCTTTAAGATAGTTATTGAACTCTCGTGATGTGTATTCTCCTCCATTGTTTGTATGGAGACATTTGACTTTTCTTCCAATATCATTCTCTACAGTATATTGAAACTCTTTAAGCTTCTCAAATACTTCAGATTTCTCTTTTAAGTACATACCTTGAGAAGTCATCAATGAATGTTACCATGTAGCGATAATCACTGATGGAGGACTGCTTCACTGGTCCAATAACGTCTGAGTGTACTAGCTTCAATGGCTTCTTCGCTTGATACTTTGATTCTCCATAGGGAAGTTGATGTGCTGTCCCATATTGACATCCAACATATATAGTGTCTCCTCTAATCTCAAGCTGGGGAAGACCTTTTAATTTTGACTGTTGCATTATGATTTTTAGTTTGTTGTAGCTCACGTGCCCAAGACGTGCATACCATAGATCAGTTGTTTCATTACTCTGTGTTTTCTCAACATAAGTTGTCTTCGCTGACATGACGTAGATTGATTCTAATCTTCTCCATGTTAGATTCAAAAGTGATTAGGGCGTCATCCGAAAGCTTATAATTACAAATATAAATTAGATGATATATAAAACTATACTAAAAGAAATATATTATTATATGATATGACCGATTGGCAGTGGCGTACCCAAAATTTTCATTCAGGGGGTTCAAAAAATGAAAGTATAAACGTGTAAATAAGCCAACAAAATAAAATTTCAAGGAAGTAGTAGTATATAGTTTATAGGTACAACAAGTTAGTTTCGTCACAAGAGACCCGAAACTAACATGAGTGATTACAGTAAAACAAAAGGTTACCCTTTTACAACGTGTTAATCTAGAACTAGGATGCTACGTAGAGCAAAAAATGGTGCTAACTAGAACAAAAAAAAATAGCACTTCACAATGTCTCATTCTAGGACTAGAGTGCTAACTACAAACTCCAAAAAGAGGTCAGTGCTAATACTTCTCAAGCACGTTTACAATACTATTCGACGAGGTTTCATTTCTTGAAAAGACAAAATAATATCATTCGTTGAAACATAATTAAACACATATTTATCCATAAAAGGAACCATGCAACCACTCAAGAACTCATCATTCATTTGAATTTGCAACTCATTCTTAATAAAGTTCATTCTCGAGAAAGCTCTTTTAACCGATGTAGTGGCAACTGGCAGAAGCAAAGAAAATTTCACCAAACGAAATACATGAGGATAACATGAATGCTTTTTTGTCTAAAACAATCTTTTTGAAAGATCACAAAGCCCATGTAAATCAGATAACCTTTTATCGATATCACGAACATCAATAATGTAATTTGCAAGTTGATTCTCAAGTGCAAACATGCTAAGTTCATCAAAGTCTTCGGGATATAATTCAGTCATTCTCATTATTTTCTGAATATCAAAACTTGAAAATGAGCCTACTGGATTCAAACAAGCAACTCCATAAAGAAACTTAGGTGTCACCTCATTAAAACGATCATTGAGTTCTTGTAATTGCCAATCAATTATTTTACAAAATACTTCAGCACGATAATGATGAAAAATAGTATAATCAACAGATTTATGTCGTGATCTTCCAGAATTAACATACGACTCATCAAAATTAGGTACCAAAATATTATACTTGATACAAAATGTAGACACCTCAACAACAAATAAATCTTGTTTTTCATTTTCCCTCAACTCTTGTAGCCTTCTCTTGGCCGCTTTAACAAGTAGCATGATATTTGCAATGTCTTGCTCCTTTTTTTATAAACATGTACTAAGATCATTAGTAATTCCTAAAACGTCTTTCATCAAATGCAATATCATATGTTTGAGCAATTCGGATATATCATGTTGCCCTGAATCTTTCATCCATAGAATGTCCAGTTTCAACAATATTATCAAGAATATCCATAATTGCACCAAACTTGAGAATAAAACAGTTAAAAGATTTGAAGTGAGATCCCCAATGAGTATCCCAAGCTCTAAAAATACCAACTTCCTGATGCAAGCATCTACCAGTTTTAAGCTCACCCATATCAAAAGCCTCTTGAATATTTTTTTTTAAGTTCTCGATGATCATTCATATGTTTATAAGAAGCTGCCAACACATTAAAAACATTTGAAACCAAATGTACAAGTTCTCTAACTTGAAGACATCTTTTAGAAACACCAACAAGAGTTAATTGAAGTTGATGAGAAAAATAATGTATGGAATAAGCCGATCTACTTTCTTTCTTAATAAACATCTTGAGGCCATTGATATCACCTTGCATATTACTTGCTCAATCATAGCATTGTCCACGCACATAAGATAAACTCAAGGAATGTTGAGAAAGTAAATTGACAATTGCTTCTTTTAGATATAAAGCACTATTATTTTTAACATGAACAATGTCAAGAAGTCTCTCCATCACAAATCCTCTTTTATCAACATATCGTGAAACAACCGTCATTTGCTCCTTGCATGAAACATCAAAAGATTCATCAATCAATAAGGAAAAATAATCACCATTTAGTTCCTTTATGATGCTCTTAATTGTTTCAATATTGCAAGCAATCACAATATCTTTGTGAATATTTGGACAAGTCATTTCGTCATTTTGAGGAGCATTTTCCAATACAAAACTATGAATTTCATCACACTTTCTAGCATAAAATGGAAGAAACTTAAGAAAATTACCTATGTTAAGTGATAATTTAGATTCATCATGACCTCGAAATGTCAAGTCTTGTTTCACAAGAAGTCTTACTACATCAACTGGAGTTGCTAAGCGGATTCGATACCCATGCTTATCTTGATTGGATTGTTTCTCAAATGAAGCATGGATAGATTGTTGTTGCCGCATTAGATCTTCACATTTTCTTTTTGATTGATTGTGAATGCTAGTATGCCCACCAACATGTGTTTGTAAACTAGCTTTTTTATGCCAACTCATAAACCCCCGTACTCGAAAATGCTTCACCTCCACCTAGAAGATTGTTGTTTCCCTTGAATAAATAACAATACAAACAAAAGGCTGCATCTTTACTTATACTATACTCTAACCAATCAGGAAATTCATTAAACCATTTATGATTAAAACGACGCATATCTCCAGAAATCTTTGTTTATGGGAACTCTTTTTAAAGAGGTTGACAAGGTTTTTTCTGGAGATAAGATCTTCTAATAGCATCATGATGATTTGGATGAAATTCCAAGATTTGAGTTCTTTCACCTGGATCAGCCTTTAAAGAACTTAAATCAAATTCTTGAGAAGAATCTGATGATACTTCCAAATGATTAGCATTTTCTTCCCGATTAGGTTGATTCTGAGCAATAGAACTTGAATTTGATACTTTAATAAAGTACGTCTCCATTGACTATGAATCTATACAAAATAGTTGAATTGTTAAATGCATTAAAGATATTTTTAACAAATTACATTAGATATTACCATCAAAATTCAAATGGTTCATAAATCTAGTTACAACAACCAAAGAAAGAAGTAGAAATAAAAAAAAAAATCACAATTTAAAATGAAGATAGTCAATATTCAATCAAGAAAGACAAACTTTTCAAGAAAAATGGAGAGAAGAGCTTACCTTGGAGAAAAGACAAACAATTAACTCTTTAGATTTTAGCTTTGAGCCTCCACTTCAGATAATCAGAGCTACTACAACCTTTAAAAAATAAAGACCCATTTATTTTTTGAAATTTTTGCTACAAATTTTTTAGTTTTAATTTCTTGAAAAATGAAAGAGAAGAATAAGAAGAAGAAGAGAAAAGGGTTTTACCTTTTAAGCAATAAGTACGAATTTTGATTTTTTTTTCATTTCAAATTGAATAGATTCAAGTATGAAGTATCAAGTATGAAACAAATCAATAGAAAATTATGGGAGATGATTTTAATATTTGACTTTTGAGTGTCGGGGAAGAACGAAGGAAGTGATTTAGGGATTTGGGAAGTGAAAAGTTATTTAGCTTTTAGGAATGAGACCCTTGAATTCTTTTGGGTTTAAAACCACACTTTTAGCACGATTTTTAAAATAAAAAACTAAAATAAAACGTGAAATAACGGAACTGAAACTAAAAACAAAACTCTAACACGGGAATTCAAACTCTCGACGTGAAGCTTAACTTCAAGGGGACATGTCGCTGCGCTATAAGTTTCTCCTGTCATTGAGGGTTTCAAAATATATATATCTACATAAAAACAGAAAATTTACATTATATATACAGTGTAAATTTTTTTCCGAAGGGGTTCGGGTGAACCCCCTGGAACCCACGTGGGTCCGCCCCTGCCAATTGGCCTACAAATTTAAAAATTAATAAAAAACATAAAAACTGTAGAGAGAAAATCTCCCCATAAACAAAAGTCTTTAAACGACTACATTGTAGATCTCATTGTGTTATGCTATGAGAATAGAGATCTTCAATTGACAGATCTCCAAACTTTTCTTATAAGGAAAGAATAATCAAATATGGAAGAAAATTATATTTTCCTTTCATGAATGTAAAATCAATTATGGTAATGTTTTAACTTTCCTTCAAGGTAAAATTAAAACTTAAATATGACAAGAAAATCAGGGCAAAACCTTAACAAATTTCCCCTTTTGGCTGGATTTTCTTGATAAAACTTGATCTGTCTTCTTCACGTGCATGATATCTTCGTTCTTTGACATAGTCTTTACCACTGTTGCTTGCCATGATTAAAAATAAAATTTAAAATATATGGGTTTAAAATGGTTTAAAACTATTTTATTTTTATTTTCAAAGATGCAGCAACAGAAATGTTGAAAATATGGTTCAAATCTCTTATCCACATGTAGCTGGACAAAAATCTTATTTATCATCAAATTGATTGCAAATTGATTTGAAACAACATTTGAACATGTCTTTAACTTCGATGAACCATTGGACCATGGCTCTAATACCACTTGTTGGATTTGAAAGTGATTAGGGAGTCATGTGAAAGCTTACAATTGTAAATCATATTTTGATAAATTAGACGACATATAAAACTATACTAAAAGAAACATATATTATTATATTATATGACCAATTGACCTACATATTTAAAAACTAATATAAAAAACATAAAAACTATAGAGAGAAAATCTCCCCATAAACAAAAGTCTCTAAACGACTACATTGTAGATCCTATTGTGTTGGAAGAATAGGAATCTTCAATTTATAGATCTCCAAACTTTTCATATAAGGAAAGAATAACCAAATATGGAAGAGAATTATATTTTCCTTTCATGAAAAGTAAAAGCAATTATGGTAATGCTTTAACTTTCCTTCAAGGTAAAACTAAAACTCAAATATGGTAAGAAAATCAGGGAAAAATCTGAACACTCCCTTCCATGATTGGTGTGCTTGTAACTTTTAAGTTCCAATATATTTTTACATTATTTGTCCCAAACAAGACATAGTTACCAAAATCTGTTAATTGCGCTACAGATAATAAGTTTTTATTCATACTGAAACATGGTAGACATTTTGAAGTTCCACTTGTCTTGAGTTGTGCTGAGTCACGAACATCGTCTTGTCAATATGAGTTATTGACATTTTTGAATTATTTGCAGTCACCACTACTCGACCGCCTTTTTATATGCTCATGTTGACGAGCTTTTTCTCACCATCAGTCATGTGATTGGAACATCATGAATCAACGGTCCAATCATGTTCATAATCAACCAATTTCTCACTTACAGTTGCAAGTGCAATCTCCTCTTCTTTGTTAGAGTGACATGTGAGAAGCTCATCTTGTTGATTAGTTTCTTCAACTGCATAAGAGGTCTCAAAATCCCAAGCTTTTTCTTCTTATTGTTGGTTATGGGAAGAAGTAGGTACGTTACCTTCAACTTTCTTGTACCAGCAATCTCTAGCGTAGTGTCCTTTCTTTCCATAATTATAGCACTTCTCCGCTTGTCGTTTGTTGAAGCTTTGGTTTGCCTGCTTGTCATGTCGCTCACTTCTTTGATGTTGATTATTCTGGTCTTCCCCTGGACGTGAGCTTCTCCTCTCATCCCTTCTTTGAAAATTTTACTTTTTACTGAAGAACGCCTTATCTTCATCTTTTATAGAGATGCTTAATAATGGCTTCTCCAGATCTTCTTCATTTGCCAACAGATTTTTCAACTCATATAAAATTGGTTTTGTGGCCCACCCTGTGTGGCTATAATTATGCCTTTGTACTCTGGCCTTAGACTATGAATAATGATTCTCCTCATTCTTGTCTCCATGATAGTATTCTCAGGATCTAATTTTGATATTTCATAAGATAAATATTTTACCTTTGAGAAGTATTGGTTGATCGTCATATTTCGTTGAGAGATCGACAAAAGCTCATTTTCAAGCCTTTGTAATCTCGCATCATTCTTCTTTGTAAAAACAATTGTCAACGTCTCCCAAGCTTCTTTGGGTGTTTTGGCACTCTTAATCCATTGTAGGAACTCATCCTCGATGGTTATAGTGAGAGCATACATGGCCTTTTCAGCTTTGACCTTCCACCTTTTTGTTGCTTCAGCATCTGTTGGTGGTGTGGTGTCTGATCCACCAATGATATCCTATAATTCCTGACTGAGAAAGTAATATTGCATCCTCGTGCTCAGAGGAATTTCTATTTGTACCTCGTAAAAAAAGTTTTTTATTTTGTGTAATGAACCATTTCTCTTCTTTCATGGAAAGAAATTACATGATCCATAGTTGCTTGCGTTGAACTTCTCAACGTTTTTTAGAGTGCTTGCGAAATTCGTCATTGATAAGTGCCTTGCGACTTGTAACTTTTGACAATAACTTGTAGATCTTCTTTAAGTTCATGTCTCGCTTTTATCCACCAGGCTTTGATACCACTTGTTGGATATTGTTTGTGGAGCCGAGCACAATCAATTTCTCACAACTTGAATTTTATTATATCAAAGTAAGACAAATATTTCTTGCACTCACACTCTAGCAACTCTCTCTCATTCCTCACTCACTTGTTGTTTGCTCTTTTGCTTTCTTACTTGGTTAGATACAACTCAAATAAACCACCTCTATTTATAGGTAGTGATGGAAGAATCTAGCTAATGATTTTGCTACTATATTTTAGAATGTTCTTCTAACTACCTATTTCTAGAACTACCTTATCTAGAAAATCTCTAGACTTTTCTCTCTAGAATACTCATTCTAGAGATCTTCCTTTATTTCTTTATAACTCTTGAATATTCTAGATTCCTCTTTGAAATGTCTTGGATATTAATTAAGTTGGTTATGATTACTTAACAAACAATGCTCAAGTGTGGATGGAAAGATCACTTGAGTGTTTTTTTGTGCTACTTTATAGATAGTAATCTCTCTTGATTTTTCTTTGTGCATTAGTTCTTTTCTGAGGGGATTGGAGTTTGAATTGGTTAATATTATAAAATTTTAGGATTAAATTTCTTTTGTTATTCTTTTTAGGAGTAGTAAGGGAGAAATATGGGGAAGATCATTTTGACTTATCTGATATTAGCATATTTAGGTCCGAGCTTGAGTAATACTTTTATGATTGCGTAAGTGTTAAATAAAATAATAAATTTTCTGACACTAGGCTCGGGATAGTGACTCTGTATAAAGGCTTGTTTGTATTTATAGTTCGCGATGACATTGTCTTCCTTAAGAGTATAATTGGTCCATCTTGATTGAAATATTTGCCATAAAAAGAGAAGATTTCTTGTACATATATTTCATGTTTTTCATCTTAATAATAAATGTTGCTCTGTTTAAAATATGATAATAGGCTTTCTTTGATATGTCTTCTAAATTTTAACCTACTCAAATATTGTTACGACTAGTTAGTCCTTTGAGCTTATGATTTTTCATTTGGTAAGTGTATTTTTG